ATCAATACAAAATCAAACCTCTGAAGAGAAAAAAAAAAAAAAAAAAAAGAGAGAACAAGGAGGGGCTTGGCTTACAGTGTTCATGGCTTCCAACTCAACTTTATCGGATCCAGGCCAATCTAAGAGATACTTGACAATATCAACATTGCCATTACCAGCAGATACATGAAGTGGCGTGTGGTACATCTGCACACATAACAAGAAGAAATTAATTAAACCCATTTTTTTAAAAAAAAATCTGATCTTTAGATTCGGAAACACAAATCTTACGACGGGATTGCGTTCGTTGAGAAGAGAAGGGTTATCTTTGAGAAGCTTCTGCAAAGAAATGAGATCTCCGGAGAGAGCGCAATCGTGAATTGTGGTGGGTCTTGCGGATCTCAGCCGCTGTACGCCGACTTGTCGCTTCATTCTTCGATCCTCCGATCACAAGCTCAAAATTGAATCTTTTCTTTCGGGGGAAGATTTAGTTTAGAGAGGATCTTGCGGAGAGTGTTTTCTTGCGTACAAGAAAATAGATTATACAAGGAGAGGTATCTCCGCGTCTTCCTCTTCACCAACTAGTCTTTCTTTCTTCCTTTTATCATTTTCTGATTTTTTTAATTGACCCTTTTGCCCTTACCTCCTGGCGCTTTACTAAATACAGCTAAGCTTCTTAATCAGACTAGTAATCATATACAATCATTTACATCTAAACTACATGATAATAAATGATTAATAGTCATCTGGTTTTTGGGCCAATAAGAATACCTCAAGCCCAATGGTCATGTGATCAAAAACAACATCACTTACGCTCAATATACCTATCAAATCCAGATAATAAAATAGATCCATGATTTCGGTGTATCATGATTAATGATGTAATCGGATCATGCTAAAGAAATTTGAGTTCATATATCTTATATTGAGAATGCATGAGAGATTCAGAGTCGTGGAAAGGAAATCTGATCCATCAACCACTTCCACTCTAATATTTCTGTTTGTGACGCTGAAGTTGAATGAATGAGAAATATTTTTACTCCTTGGACTTTCGGATTAACAACTTTACTCCGTTATGTTAGTTTATGATTGGTTTATGTTCATGATTAGGTAGTATACCAAATCGGTTTAGTTAACCGATAGTTATAGATTAATTCTATAAATGAATCAATGCATCTCTTTTTTTTTTTAACTTAATTTCATATATAAATTGCATGAGAAAGAAAAATAAACAGACCCAAAGGCCAGTGTTATGGACACAGCTAAGCCCAGTTAAGTTTCCAAGTTTCCAATCAAAGATCCTAAAGCCCTTAATAATCAGCACAAGCCTAAGGTCTTAGGGTTAAAAATGTAGAACACAAAAGGTCGTTGTTGTTCTTGCAGTCGATGATTATGAAGAAGGTAGAGAGAACCTCAAGCGAGCCATTCCTGCATCATCCTTGAGGAGAAGCGAGGATTTCTTTCTCTGTGGCTAAGGATACGATCCTTTATTTGGCGATCAATCAACATGATTAACACATCAACAGAGCGAAAAGAGTTTCGGTGTAGTCGGCTGTTACGTTCTTGCCATGTCCAATAGATGCAGCTTTGCCAGGTTAGAAGTATCAGCCTCCCTCTCCAGTTACGGCTATTGAAGGATTGAAGTTGAGTTGTTACATCTTCCCATTGTTGTACTGGAGACAGACCACAACGATGGGCTACAGAAGACCACAAGTTCCATGAATAAGGACAAATGAAAAATAGATGATCACGCGACTCTGCAGAAGAGTTACATAGCAGACAAGTTGGTGGTATCTGTATCCCCCATCTCAGTAATCTATCTTTTGTTGGACAACGGTCCAAGATGAAGAGCCAACAGAGAAATGAATGCTTTGGAATGCCTCCTGCTATCCAGACAATATTTTCCCAGGGAACTGCCACTCCTTCACCAGATAAGATTTCATAAACCTGTCCAGTTGAGTATTTTGTTGAAATACTGCCGTCCAATTCCCATTCATAGTAGTCTTCCTCTAAAGTGAGTTCCAGGGTTGTGAGGAAGACATGAAGTTGTAGTTGCTTATCAGAACGAGGGTGGGGAAGTGTCCAATTATTTTCCCTAAACAACGAGGAAAGTGTTGCATCTTCTTGAATCCCAAGTGAGAAGTTTGAGTCATTAGTGAGAAAACCTTTTAGGGATCCTGATAAGAGATTGTTGGTAATATGAATTTATTCCACCCAACCTCCCTCTCTTGTAATTCACACTTTAGAATTACAAGCCTAAGATCCAGACCTCAAGTCTAAGATCATTTACAATACTCAAAAGCTGACTCTCTCTACATACAAACTTCTTATTTATACTCTCTACTAATCGTAACTGACTCTAACGGAACTAACTGCTTCGTAACAAACTCAGTCCATGTCAGCATCCAAGACTTCTTGCTCCTCTTCACTGCCTTTCCCCCCCCCCCCCCTCATCTTCTTACGGAAATACACCCTCCAAGGCTTATCATTACCCCCCCCCCAATCAAACTGAGCATGTCCTCAAGCTCGAACGCAGGAAAGTCCCTCTTCATATCACGTACACGCATCCAAGACGTCTCATGTATCGGTAAGCCTTTCCACTGCACTGAAACCTCCAAGTGCCCTTCATCATCATAACGATAGCTCGCTAAAGCATCAGGTTGCAACACAAACTCTGCGCTATCATTGAACGTAGAAGGTAACTCCATGACCGTATGATTCTTTCCCAATACCGGCTTCAACTGGGAGACATGGAATACAGGGTGTATTTTACAAGTCTCAAGCAGTTGTAAACGGTAAGCGACCAAACCAATCCTCTCCAACACTGTAAAAGGTCTGTAATACTTAGCTGCCAACTCTCGACAAAATTTTTTTGATAAAGTCTTCTGACGATAAGGCCTGAGCTTCAAGAACACAGAGGACCCAACAGCAAACTCAAGGTCACGATGGTGCTTATATGCACTATCTTTCACCGCAGCATGTTCCTTAAGCAAAAACTCTTTAGCCTGTCGCAGCATCTCGTCCCTCTCTTTCAACATCACTTCTAACTCATAATTTGAAGTAGACCCTTCCTCATATTGCAGCAGAGACGGTGGTTCGCGACCATACACCAGCTTGGAAGGAGACGTATGCGTAGAAGTGTGGTAAGAGGTATTATACCAATACTCACACCAAGCTAGAAACTTGACCCATTGCTTAGGATTCGCAGACGTGAAACATCGTAAGTAAACTTCGAGACAACGATTCACCACCTCGGTTTGGCCATCACTTTGAGGGTGATAAGCCGTGCTAAACTTGAGAGATGTTCCTTCCAAGCGAAAACATTCCTTCCAAAAATTACTGAGAAATACTCTATCACGATCAGAGATAATCGATGTTGGATAACCATGTAGTCGCACAACTTCACGAATGAATTTCTCAGCCACAGAAGTAGCTGTGTAAGGATGTTTTAGCGCAATGAAATGACCATATTTGCTTAAATGATCCACCACTACCATGATCACAGAAAAACCTTCAGATTTCGGTAAACCATTAATGAAGTCCATGGAAACTTCAGACCAGATCATAGTAGGTAATGGAATGGGCTGTAACAGACCACCAGGGCACAAGGTAGAGTATTTGTGGGTCTGGCATATAGTGCACTCTGACACGTATTGTTGAACATCATCTTTTAACTTAGACCAATGGAACAACCTTTGGATTCTCTTGATTTTTTTCAACACACCAGAATACCCGTCAAATACTCCATCATGATATTCTTGGAGTATAATCACAATATATTTTGATGTCTTGGGAATAACCAGCATGCCCTTATAGAAAAGTCGACCTTTGATGATAGAGTAATTATTCTTCTGACTTTTCCTTGAACCAAATCATGTATCTCCTGTTGTAAACTCGGATCCACATCAATTTCTTCCAAGAGATCTTGCATTTGCAGGTTAAAAGAAACTGTTAATGCGCACAAAAGGCCTTCATTATCAAACTGGTTCTCTTGTGAAATGCGAGAGAGACCATCTGCAGCTTTATTCTCTATCCATGCCTTGTAGATGATCTCAAAATCGAATCCCAACAACTTTGTGAGCCATCTCTGATACTCCATAGAAACGTCTCTCTGATCCAACAAGAATTTCAAACTCTTTTTGTCGGTATAAACCAAAAAATTTCTTCCCATGAGATAATGTTTCCAGCATTGTACTGCCAACACAATAGCCATCAATTCTCTCTCGTTAATGGGTTTCAACTGCTCTCTATCGGTTAACGCCTTGCTGAAATAATAAATTGGTTTGTGATTCTGCATCAGAACTGCTCCTAATCCAAACCCCGAGGCATCAGCTTCCACCACAAACAACTCCTGAAAATTTGGTAGACAAAGTACTGGAGCTGTTGACTTTGATAATTTCAACTTATCAAAGGCTACATGTGCTTTACCCGACCACTCAAAACAATCCTTCTTCAGTAAGTCTGTTAACGGTCGTGCTATCATGCCATACCCTTGTACAAACCTTCTGTAATAGCCCGTCAAACCAAGAAATCCCCTTAAACTCTTTAAAGTTCTCGGAGATGGCCATGATTGCATCGCCTCTGTTTTTGCAGGATCTATCGAAACACCGTCCTTGGAGATAATGTGACCCAATTAATCCACATGATGCTTAGCAAATGAGCACTTCTTGCGGTTGGCCAATAAAGCATGATGTCTCAAAGTATCCAGCACAGTTTGTAAATGATCACGATGCTCCTCCACTGATCTGATGTATACCAGAATATCATCAAAGAATACCAAAACAAATCTCATGAGAAACGGTTTAAAAATTGCATTCATCAAGGATTGAAAGGTTGCTGGTGCATTGCTAAGTCCAAACGGCATGACAACAAACTCATAGTGTCCTCATGCGTTCTAAAAGCAGTTTTCTCAATGTCAGTCTCACTCATCTTTATTTGATGATAACCCGATCGAAGATCCAACTTGGAAAATACTGATGCACCATTTAACTCGTCCAACAACTGATCTATAACCGGTATAGGAAAATTTATCTGGAATTGTGAGCTTGTTCAAACCTCTGTAATCAATACAAAACCTCCATCCTCCATCTTTCTTTTTAACCAACAGAATAGGACTTGCATATGGAATTCTACTCGGACGAATTACCCCTGAATCCAATATTTGCTTCACCATTTGTTCTATGACAGTCATGTGAGCATGAGGGTAACAGTATGGCCGTACTGCTACTGCTCTAGATCCCTCCACTAGCTTAATACTGTGCTCAAATCCTCTCATAGGTGGTAACTGAGTTGGTTCCTGAAACACAGAAGTATACTGCTCCAAGACATTTGCAAATTTCTCTAGAAGATTTAATCTGTCCTGAGCTTCTGCAAAATTAATAGATCCCAACTCCTGTAACTCAAATCCCGATGTGATTGATTCCAAGGACGAA